TTTAATGATGATAATAATGCCTCGGATACTCAGAAACTCCTTTATCATGGGGTTAGAACAAAATGGCTCTTTGTGATTGTCTGTTTGTCAGATTAACGTAAACGTGCTTGAATATGAGATGTATTCACCTTATTCCGTTTAAGACGATGGTAGTTGAATTTTCCTGCAATTATATGAGTAGAGCTGACGTTTCTATTGAGCTTCACATAGTCTTGTTTTCCCAAAAGTTTTCCTCAAGGTTGAATGCAGTTTCGCCTTCGCCTAGGTTTTATCAATATCCCAAGCCTAAGTCGAACCATGACAATGCAGCGTGTAAGCTTGACACGTTAGTCAGGAAAGCCAGGCATTTTCCTATATCACGTGTCGAGCTTACATGCTTCATTGTCATAGTTCGACTCCCGTTGGGGGTGTTGATAAGACCTAGGAAAGTTCGAAAGTGCATCCACTCTGCATGTAAACAACTTTTAGAAATATGAAGATTTACTGGGTTTTGATGAATCTCCTGGCATAACATTATTATTGGGACTTTCATTTTGTATGAAAGTGTAAGAAGAAGAGATCCGAAGGTCGATATCACCAGAAGAGAAAGGTTGAACCACGTTGTACTGCAGCCGTTTGGCTTTAATACGACGTTGAGATTAACGCAGTGTACGAGGAAATACGTTAAATATGAGGAACGGTGGTAGAAAATTGAGTAGGAACTACTTATGCTTGATTAATAGATTGAAAGAGAGAAGTGTTAAGCCGCCGTCAAAAAGAAGAGGATTCAATTTGTCTGCCCTGTGATGGTTCTAATTTCACTCACATTTTAAAATAAGCTCATCAACCAAACCAGACATGTCCGATTACGCAACCCGAGTCTTGCCTTTCCTTTGGGGGTTAAACGTTAATGATCCTAAACTGAAGGTTAGACAAGTGGTTTCGTAACTTAATTTTCATGCTTACAAGCTCATATCTCATTTGCTCAACCATACTTGTTTACTGACTTACGCATTTTCGGTCAAGGCTTTCTCTTGGGTCATTCGACCTTGAGGATTAGAACCTGAGATTGAACCTTTGACAACTCTGATTTAGGAACCGTATTAAATATAGACGATAACACGCACACATACGCATACGCATACACTCGAGCAAAAGTAACAGGACCAGTATGAAAAATAATTAACCAAACCACTCTATATCGATCTATCTAAGTTTTAATTTTCTTTTGGCTCAATTGAGTCTATATAAGAAATATGAGATGTATTCACTCAATTTGGTTTAAGGTGATGAAGGACTGGTAAAAGAATTTTCCTACAATGATATGAGTAAGCTGGCGTTTACATTGAATTTCACATAGCCTTGCTTTCCCAAAAGTTGTTCTCATCCAGGGTGGACTGCAGCATCGGTCTTATCAACACCCCCAGCGGGAGTCGAACAGTGACAGTGCAGAATGGGAGCTTGACATGTTAAACACTCGGTCACATTGTCACGAGTGCCTTTAAGTCACAAGGCAAATGTGAATTTCAAGGAAGGCCATGCCTTTTATCATATCATTTCTTTAGTGGGATTGTCGATGAAACAAATTTATATTTGCTATAACAATCGACTATGTTACTTATCTTTGGTATGGTACGTCTGCGGTTAAAAGAAAGATAAGAGAGGATATTTAAATTAATACATTAAGAAATACATTGAATGTGAAGAACGGTGGTAGAAAGTTAAGTAGGAAATACTTAACTAAGGTATGAAGACCAAGATGGTCGCAGTATCCTTTCGTTGTATGGAAGTTGTTTGACCTTGTTTTATAAAGATGGTGTGGCCTTTTGTGTGGTCGCAGTCTCCTTTCGTTGAATAGAAGTTGTTTGACCTTGTTTTCGATGGTGTGGCCTTTTGTGTGGTCGCAGTCTCCTTTCGTTGTATAGAAGTTGTTTGACCTTGTTTTCGCAAAAAGACCAAGATGGTGTGGCCTTTTGTGTGGTCACAGTCTCCTTTCGTTGAATAGAAGTTGTTTGACCTTGTTTTCGCAACTTGGTGTGCCCTTTTGTGTGGTCGCAATCTCCTTTCGTTGTATAGAATGGTGTAACCTTTTGTGTGGTCGCAGTCTCCTTTCGTTGTATAGAGGTTGTTTGACCTTGTTTTCGCAACATGGCCATATTGGTAGGAAGACTTAGAGGAACGCACCTAGTCCGGAGTCCATTGTCTGCATGATCATTTCCAAAGTTAAATCGTGGACGTGGTACATTCCCAAGCGTTTCGCCGGCATTATAGTCGGCATCATCAGTGAGTATCGCCATTCTTAGCACCACACAACAACTCGTCGAGGAGACAAATGAAGCCGATCCTTTGAACAAACGTGTGCTAAACAATTGTGGTATCTCACCTTCTGCCCTGGGTTATTTGCGTTTCCGGTAGCATCCTATCATGCCTTCACTATTACACTTTTTACAGTGTTTATTTAAAGGGCAGGGACCGGAGCTAGTTTGTTGACGGCAGGTCTGTTGTACCAGAGATGTGCTACATGTAGCATAGGGGTGACCATGACAA